GTCGAAGGTTCTCTCTACCCTACCCAAAAAAAAAAACACTACAACTTGTTCAGTCATTCATGTAGCTTCTTCCTTCTACTATAATTTTCCGTTGGAAAAAAAACCAAAATCTTCATTATCGTACTGTGTGCTGAATTTACTCCTTCAACTGCTACAACATTTAAAGGTACTATTACAATTACTTCAAATTTTGAATTTTCAGTTTTTTCTATAAGCATTAATTATAATAGATGGCTTCCCAACTGCTTATTTCACAAGCTTTAACTTCTCATTTAATCCATCACCTGAAAATCTCAACACGTATATAATTTTTTCTAATATGCTTCAATTTCTTGTTCAGTGATTACCAAACAAAATGTTTCTTCATCACAAGATGAACTTTGTGATCATGATCTCAACAGTTTCCTTGTTGACTATTTTATCGAACACAACAAGTGCGAAGAACGACCCGAATTGTTTGAGACGTTGTGGAGATGAAGTTCTTCAATATCCTTTTGCATTCTCTGAAAATTGCGGAATCAAATTGGACTGTTATGATAACCAGGCTCGAATTGGTGAGTTTCTGATTCAGAATGTAACTGAAAAGAGTATGTTAATCTACCTTCCTGCGAAATGCAACCGGAGTATGGAATCTATTCAACCGCTTTTCGGTGAGAATTTTGCTCCGACGAGAAATAATAGTTTTCTAGTTCAAGGTTGTTCTGCTCCGCTTGGTGGATGTGTGATTCCGGCTTCAAGTTTTGTTGGAAATCAGATTGAAGTTGAGAGCTGTGATAGTAAAAGTAGTAATATAAGTTGTTTTAATGAACAAGAGGGGGAGGTTGATGTATTGAGTTATGAGGAGTTGAATAGAACTAAGTGTAACTATTTGTTCTCAGCTGTTTCGGTTGAACAGAATAAAGAGATTTCGTTGCAGTTTCAAGCTGTTGAATTAGGGTGGTGGATTCAAGGCTCTTGTGATTGTTCTGAGAATGCTACTTGCTCCAAGGTGCGTCTACAAGGAAATGGTTTTGGATTTCGGTGTCAGTGTTTCGATGGTTTCCGGGGAGATGGATTTGCCAAAGGTACCGGTTGCCGGAGAGGTGAGTATAGAATTTTGTGTTTATCTTATTTTATGTGTTTTTCAGAAATTGGTTTTGTTTTATTGTTATACTTTGATTCTTGTTCTTAGAATAATCATAATGCTGCATAAAAATAATAATTATGATGCTTTTTGATAAATTGGTTTGGTGCTGCTTTATGCGTCTGCCAATCAAGTTGTTGCACTTCAATTCTGTTCCAGTTCTTTAAAAGACCAGTCAATTTCGTCTGCTACAAAATTATTATCTTAAAATCTGATCTGAAAGATGCAAATTTAAATCTTGACTTCTTTTAGTTTCCATTTTGATTTCCATTTTGGATTGGTCATCGCTTGCAAACTAGAGACTTGTATCATCCTATAGTTTTATGCACTGGTGGATCTTGATTTTTTTTATAAGCAAATTCTAAGTAGTTAATTTGTCTAGAAATTAAGAATTTGTAAGTAGCATAGATCATGCTCTATGGTACTTCTTCGATGTTCCAACTCGTAGCACTGAACTACTCTTCTGGGAATAACGACAAGCAACTCATATTTTCAGATGTATTTTAAAGTGGATTTGATGAAATGAGAGTTTAAGTTAGCCGTCTTAATCTTTATCTAACAGTCAAAATCATTTTATTGTGAGTGTGGTTTTTCAATGAGAAATTTGGTCTTGCAAATCATCCACACCAACTTTTACTTTTTGTGACAAGCATCAAACTAATTTCTTGTGGACCTTGAGGGACCTCTTAGGCTCCTTTATTTTGAAGTGATATATGAAAGTAAAAACAACAATTGATTGCTTTGCTTGGTTTCTTTTTAAATGTTATGGATACTATTTTTGATGCCTCTGATAATGAAATTCATTGTCATGGAAAAGAGGATGAGGATATGGGAAATGAATGTTCTTATCTTGAATTAGTTGTTTTTGGTGTGCTGTTTGTTTTGAATGGGAACTTATTAACAAAGAAACAATTCTTAAAAAGTCAACATCAGTGGCTGCACATGTATGGTAGCTAAAAATAAGATTGACTTGAATTTTGATTAGTTTTATTGGTGGTCACAATCAGAGATTCAGAGGAATTGAGATTTAGGATATGATCTTGTATAAATATTAATTAACCACATTACTTGTAACTTTAAGCATGCAGACATAATTGACAGAGTAATTTTTTCACCTTTCATACTTTGCTGACAGAGGAAATTGAGTTTCATGCCAGTTTCTCAAGTAAACATCTGACAGACATAGTGAGAACCAAATGTCAAACTTTTGCTGAGCTGTGCCATGTTATTTGCTGCAATTTTTTAGTTTTGCATGACTTTGAATATCTCTTATATTTAATCTGGTTTATTTATTACTATTAAACATTTGCAGAAGAATACTTAATCAAAATATCTTAAGATTTGTTTAAACTAAACAAACTTTTTATGATCTGTGAAATGTGAAAAGTTCCTTGTGACTCTTTCGACAAAGAACATTTTAGATACTGCACATCTAGGTCATCCGAACCAGTTGGTTAAGAATAACTATCAATACTATGCTGATTAATTTTATTTCTTTATCTGTTCAATTAGTATATATTGTCATCTTTTTAATTATTTGTCTATAGTTGCCTTATCTTCAGCTCCAAGTTGCAGTGCTTCAACACTAACATCCGGAGGATGTGGGAGTGCAACCAAAATCGGTGTTGTTGTCGGAGGTATAACCTTACTTTCATTCCTCGTACCATCGGTCTTACTATTACATACTGACAAAACATTGAGGACGAATATGACAAATAATATTGATCCATTCTATGTGATTGCTTCCATTTAACAGTGATTATAACCGGAGTTGTGATCGTGGCTGCCCTCATTCTTTTATGCTACTGTGCTAGGCGCCGTTTTACTTGGTTGAGAAAGCATACCAGAGTAAAGCGTCTACTACGTGAAGCTGCAGGAAACTCTACTGTGCCTCTCTACACTTACAAAGACATAGAAAAGGCCACAAACTCTTTCTCTGAAAAACAGACACTAGGAACCGGGGCTTTCGGCACAGTCTATGCTGGAAAACTTTACAATGATGAGTTTGTTGCAATCAAGAAGATAAGACATAGAGACACTAATAGTGTTGATCAAGTTATGAATGAGATCAAGCTCCTTTCTTCAGTGAGTCACCCGAATTTGGTTCGTCTCCTAGGTTGTTGCATTGAAGAGGGAGAGCAGATACTTGTTTATGAATATATGCCGAATGGAACACTGTCTCAGCATTTGCAAAGAGAGAGAGGTAAAGGTCTTCCGTGGACGATACGACTCACCATTGCTTCTGAAACTGCTAATGCTATAGCTTATCTCCATTCTGCAATTCATCCACCAATTTACCACAGAGACATAAAATCCAGTAATATACTACTGGATTATAACTACAAATCTAAAGTAGCTGATTTTGGGCTTTCTAGGCTTGGTATGTTAGAGACATCACATATTTCAACTGCTCCGCAAGGAACTCCGGGTTATGTGGATCCCCAATACCACCAGAACTTCCACCTTTCTGATAAAAGTGATGTGTACAGCTTTGGAGTGGTTTTGGTAGAGATAATTACTGCCATGAAAGTGGTTGATTTTGGTAGACCTCAGAGTGAGATTAATTTAGCTGCACTTGCTGTTGATAGGATTAGGAGGGGTTCTATAGATGAGATTGTGGATCCCTTCATTGAACCAAATAGAGATGCTTGGACTCTATATTCCATTCATAAGGTGGCTGAGCTTGCATTTAGATGTCTTGCTTTTCACAGTGACACAAGGCCGACAATGATGGAGGTGGCCGAAGAGCTGGAGTACATCAGACGCCGTGCATGGACAACTATGGAGGAAGCTATATGTTTGGGTTCATCGGTTGGGTCTGCGAGTTCATCGCCTCGCGATGGAAGTGAGAAGTCAGTGAGTGGTATTAAGTTGAATAAAGTAGGACAAGAAATTGAAGGACTGATTGTTCCACCCAAGAATGAAAACTTGCTGCAATCTATGGAATTGGAGGTGAAAGACAGTTCCCCTGTATCAGTGCATAATCCGTGGTCGAGTGGAAATAGCTCGCCTTCAACAAACAGCTTGTTGGGAAATATCGTACGGTGACCGCCAACAATGTGAATAATACTTAAGGCATATACATAAAAGTTTTCTTTTCTTTTTTAGCTGTCATTGATGTTCCTGTGTGATTAAGATTCTGGTTTACTAAGAACTTCTGAAAGCTTGAATGCAAAAATAATCAGCAATAGATATACAAGATTTTCTCTGCAAACAAGATGTAAACTACGAATAGTTACTATTGTATATTATGACTCGAAAAGGCCAGCAACTTTAGGCTACATTATTTTATTAAGTAAGCACAGCTAAAGATATAAATGTGCAAATTCAGAGAAGTGTTGATGTATCAGTAGTCTAAGTAATGCCCAGGAAAGGCGGCACTTGACAGTTTACACTATATGATTATATGTTGCACCCATCTATATCCATTCTTCAATTTTTCTTCAATTTAGTCGTTGGTGTTTTCGCCAAGTCTCAATTTTGTAAACATGACAGTGTCAATTAAATTTCTTAGTCATTGGTTCTTAATTATAATCAAAGCTGCACAAGAATGCTGTTTCCCCTTTCCACTAAAGCAGCCATTTCTGATCGACCGAGAGTTTCATGAACTTAGTATTGGCGGATAAATAGATATTACATTGTTCAAACATATAAGTATTTAGTGATGAGCAATGTAGTGAACTTATAAGCATTTAAGTGCAGAGATTGTATGAAAATAGACATTTGAGCAAACGATTGCCATTGATATCTTGTTTTAGACCCTAATCTATAACAGGCTTGTACAATGTACATAATTTGTCTGTTGAAATGTTGCTCATTGACAGATCTAACAATTTACTATAAAACAGTACAAAGAAAGTATTGTGTATGTTGTCATCTAACCATGACTTCTTGGATCAACAACTTGATGCACCTTTCTTTTTTCAGCACTAGTATATTGGCCTACAACGCGCGCATGAGGCACCGATGCTTCACCACGAGCAAGTGCATCAACATTGTCAAGCAGATACTGTCTCGGAAGTCTACCTACTACATTGCCCTCTTCATTCCCTTCTTTATCAAGGAAGGCAAAGTGCGGAATACCCTCCACGCCAAACTCATCAAGCTCTTGTTCCCATTTGGTGTTATCCACATTCAACATCACAAAGTTCACTTTATTCCTGATTTATTAAGTAAAACAGTGTCGAGATTGAGAATTAGTACACGAAAAACCATAAACTAAATCAATGTTGTACAAAATGTTGGCATTTGAGTTTCCCTCAAAATAAGGCATCAACATAAGTTTGAAATAAAAGTGATTACTTGTACTGCTGCTCTATTTTGTAAACATCAGGAGCTAATTCCCTACAAACCTCACACCAATCTGCATAAAACTCCACAACAGTAGGCTTCCCATTTGAAAGAGCCTGGAACAAGAAGCATCCAAAACTAACGTTCAAACACAGAAAATACGTAGCTGATGAAAACTAGCAATAACAACCTCAAATGAACTTAAAAACCTGTTGTACAGATTACAACCCTATAATTGGACATAAGAAATTCACTTTTAAACCATTAGTTTTTAAATTTATGTTTGTGACTAATTTTTTTCCCTTCAAAAGTGGATTGCCATACCACTATAAGGCCAATAAACCATACCTTCAACGAAAGACCATTTTTTTAATATTGAATTTTGGACATAATCCAACCCAATAAATTTAAATTGACTTATTTGAATTTATCTATACAACTACAACAACCAAGTCTTATCCCACTAAGTGGAGTTGGCTACATGGATAAACTTATGTCATAATGTTCTATCTAGAATTATGCTTCCACCAAAAATTTTAATCTCAAGATCTTTTTTAATAACTTCTCTTATGATTTTTCTAGGTCTTCCTCTAACTATTTGATTTCTCTCTATTTGATCTACTCTCCTTACCACATAATCAATAGGTCTTCTCTCTACATGCACAAACCACCTAAATTTATTTTCCACTATCTTTTCTACTATAGATACTACCCAACACTCACGCTAATATTGTCATTTCTAATCTTATTATATCTAATGTTGCCACACATCTATTAAAAGGTAATTATGTATTTGCCATTTTGGATATTCTCTTTTAGGGCCTATGTGACATTCTTATCTTTACTATTTTTGTGTAAAAATAGGTGTACTAGGTTTCATTTAATACAACCAATCATCTTTCAATCATTTGTGGCAGCTTTATAGCATTTATCATTTTCTCTCTTCTTCTTCAATTTCATCACCTTGCACCAACAACATCTAACGTAACATCCTCATATCTGCTACACTTACTTTATTCTCGTATAAATTCTTAACCGTTCAATTTTGAGTCTCGTACAACATCGCAGATCTTACCGCAGTCTGATAAGATTTCTCCTTCAGACTGAGCGATACCTTTGTATCACATAAAACTCTTGAAACCCTCCTCCATTTCAGTCACCTCTCTTGAATTTGATAGTTTACATCGTTTTGTATTACGGACCCAAAATATTTAAACCACCTGAATGGCATGAGAAATTCTGAAACTGTTTCGTAGCTTACGGAAACAATCTATGATATTTTGATAAGTTGGTGTCATCTTATTTCTACAAGACCTACGAAAACAATTTGATTTGATTTTAGCAGTTGTTATAGAAATAGTTCATACATAAGTATCTATATGATTAAAGAATTTTGCTATTAACATTTTTTAGACTGTTTAAGAGAGTTTATGAAACAATTTTCAACTTATTTATATAAATTTTCAATAATAGCTTATGAACGAACCTGTTCGTAAGGCAATGCAGCAGCAGAGAGATCCTTCAAAGAAACACCAAAATCCAATCTTGTAAACACAAAAAGTCCCAGAGCAGCTAAAGTAGAAGCAATTGCGACTTTTCTACTGATATCTTTATTTGGCAATTGAGGAAGTTCAGCGGAATCAACAGTTGAACTTGTCGTCTCCTCCTTACCGCTACTAGGCTCAACCACAACTCGTATTTCCTTAGGCTGAAATGAAACCATTAATTAAAAAGAATTAAGCAATGAAATTAAAATAAACAAAACGAGGTGATAGTAATGGAAATAAGTATTTTTACCGGCGTTGTTGAGGGATTATCTTTTTCGTTAAGGTTTGGATCTGTTTGGCAAGCTATGGTGTGGAATTTAGGGAATTTGATGTGGCGGTGGCGAGGATATACGGTGGATTGAGAAGGTTGAAAACATGGTCGGAATCTATGGAGACCGATTGGGTTTAACGATAGGCGAGCCATCCACGGGGTGCCCAAAACAAATATCTTCGGTTGCTTGAGAAGGTAAGTAACTAGTAAGCAATTATCCTGAACTTCATTACAACTGCCACCGCTGATAGAAACAAATTTTTTAAGCTTTTATTTGTCATTATCTTTTTTTAAATTGTGGGAATAATCTATAATATAAAAAAACAAATGTTCCTGTCTAATTCTATTTTGTCTTTGTTTAAAAATTTCCACCTATTGAAAACAAGATTAATTAGTGTCTAAACTGATTTATGACATTGTTCAATTATAATTAAATATTTTGCGTTTAAAGTCATTGATGAGTGTAAAAAAGTTGCCTATTATTCTATCCGAACAAAAATTATGTTTTTCAACAAATAATACAATTCAGTTTAGATAGTGTGATACGGTGGGAGAACTGACTTGAGGTTTTGCGTTTGTATTCGCAAATGTTGCGGTTAGCAAGAGTCGCCACCGACTTTTTATTTTATCCTGAAGAAAAGGTTAAAAAAGCACAGCAAAAACCTTTTGAGATATTTCGTGGGTTCGGGGGTAGATTATGAAAAGGGAAGGTATTAGCACCCTTTTCATCCATGGTTATCCATGGGCTCTTAGTTACTTGGTTTTTTAGATCACTTGCTTTGTTTTTCGATTGCTTTGAAAATGGTGTGTGTGTGAATGCTTTTTTTTGAAAATGTTTTGGAAAAAGATGCCTTGTCTTAGGCAACTAATGTATTTGACTCGTGTTTGAGTGTTTTACAAAAGTGTGAATCTTTTCGAAAAGATGTTTTCAAATGTTTTTGAGAGTTTGTTTGAAAGTGTTGTGAATTGTGGTTTTTGAAAATGAGGCAAGTGTTTTTGCAAGTTTGATCTCAAGTAACTAAGAGTTTTGTCTACCCTATTGTACTCAAAGGTTTTTGTCATGTTTTAACCCCTTTTAACAATTTTGTTCTACCATTGAAATTGGTAGACAATCTTGCGTTTAGGAAGTTTATTCGGGACGGGCGCGGGTCATCGTATGGACCATGAATGCAATGATGCCAAGTGTCTTTGGCAATTTGTTTTGAAGGGACTATGATCATTCCGTTTAGGCAACACTTTGAGACTTATGATCATTTGATTTTGTTTTACCAAAGAAACTCGACGTGCAAGCATGGCCCATTTTGGAAGGCAACATGTGGGATTACCCTAGGGGGTGCAAGTGTGATTGTGTATTGATTACATGTATTTGTCTTGTATTAGGTTATCTAGCGTTTGATTTTATGTACATACAAACCCTAGGTCTAACCATGGTATAATTGGAAAACTGTAAATTGCGGAATGTAAAATCTACGCTATTACAAAATAGTGTCCGGGAGTGGGGGTATAAATGTACAAGGGGATGAGATTTATAGTATCCAATAAGTTACAACCAAATCGAATGTGCGATCAAAATGTAAATATCGAATGTACAAATATAAGATAAAATGTGTATAGGGCCATGTGAATGTATTTGTGTAAGTGTACAAATGCGAATTGTGGAATTGAGGCGTATTAGGGTTTGACCTAGGGAAATGTTTTAAACTGAATCTTTGATTTTTGTATGTTTAATTATGTACAAAAGAAAAAAAGAAAGTGTTTTGATTAAATGTTCAATTTTTAATTGGAAAGTATTTTAGTCCAAATGTTTATGAGTTTAATATTAGAGAAATGTATTTAAGTTATTATGTACAAATGTATATGTTAATTAAAAGTTTCAATTTAATTATGTATATAAAAAAAAGTATAATATGTACAAATCAATGTTTTAAAATGTATGTACAAATATATTTTAAATGAAAGAGTAAATAAATAAATGAAAATAATTATTTTCAAACTTAATATATGAGGTAAAGATGTATTTTAATTAGGTTAGTATGTTTAATTAAATTAAGTATATATAAAATGCTTTAATTAAATTGTAAATAAAAAAGAAAGTATTTTGCATTAAAATGATTTTTGTAAAGCAAATGAAGTGTTTACATAAAATATAAAAGGGTTAGTGTTAATATATAAAAAAGAATAGGTTAAATGAATATTGTTGATGAAAATGAAAAGAGGTTAATGTTTAATGGGCTTTGGGGAAGTGAGGACGGGTCAGGCCCAAGCTTGGTTTTGAACGAAATTTAGGGTTCGCGTGGAATTTGTCATTCAGAACAAAGGCTAGGGTTAACAGCGGCGTGCTTGTGCATTCGTACGTTCGTCTTCGTCGCCTTTTGCAAGCTTTCTGAATCCGTCTCCTTGCTCAAGCCACCAGCAATTCCTTCGCCTCCTCTCCCTCTTCATGATTCAACGAAGCGCGTAGCACGATAATCCACCTTCTTTGGTTGTTTAGGGTTTTACTTGCGTTTTCATTTGGGAATGTGTTTTCTTCTTGGTTAATTATTTGATTAGATTGAATGTTGATTTTGATTTGCATGTTGTGTTTATTTGGAGGTACGTGAGATGAAAGAAAGAACGTGCATTACCTTTACTGAAGAGGGGGAGGAATGGTGGAGATGCTCGGAGGCGTGCTGGCGAAGGGGAGAAGCGCGTGAAGTTTTGAGCTTTCCTGGTATTTTCGTTCTTACCTCTTGCTTAGGCTTTTATGATGACATGTGCTGAGAAGCCCTAATCTATTCACTTCTTTATCTTCTTCTTCCACTATGTGTTGCCTTGGGAATTTGTATGTTGCCTGAGATGCCCAGTGATGATCTCTGAGATCTGAGGGCCTATGTTGCCTTGAATGATTTTTCTGTGTTATCTTAAACTTGCCCTTTTGTACGTTTGCTTGCCTAGAACTGTTGCCTCAAATGTTTTGCCTTGAGCTTGCCCCATGATGTGTTTCACTGAGGGCCTAGGTTGCCTTGAGTTGTTGTTCTGAAAACCATTAGCCTTTTACCTGTGTTGCCTAATTTGACATGTTTTTTTCTCGCCCCATGATGAATCCAAGATTCTGAGGGCTCGAAGGCTTGATGCCCTTTTTGGAGCTTTGAAGCTTTGAAAGGCCTTAAGCTTATCTTTTACAATGGCTGGCTTGAGTATGCTTGAGGGATTATGTGTTTGGTTATGCTTGAGATTAGGCAGGTTATGTATCAGCAGGTTTTGGTACTGGTATGTTGCTTATCAGGTTTTTGATGTTCAGGCTTGAGACTTGGCAATAGGGGTGGTGATTCTGGTATGAAGTTTTAGTTTTTGAGTTTTTGAAAAGGGTTTGATAACTTGTGTGGTTTCAGTTTTGAAGCTTGAGGTTGTTAAACTGGTTTTGATTCACAGTTTGCAGGTTATGTGTTTTATGATTATGGTTGTTCAGGTTATCTGTTTGGGCAGGTATCAGGCTATGACAGGGTGTTGGTTTTGCTTATCAGGTTTTTGTGTGTTTGAAGGTTGAGGCCTGATGCAGGTTTGATGGTCTTTGTGTGATTCTGATTTTAGTTAAGGCATTAGCAGGTCATGTGTTTCAGTGTGTTTGTTGGGCTTGGCCAAGTTTGAGGTGTGTTATGTTTTCTTGAAACTCAGAGGCTTGTGTTTGTATCTTTTTCTTCTATCCTCTCTCTTCTGCCTTTGTATTGGCTTGTGTATTTTGTACCTTGAAGCAGAGTTGGTGAAGTTTGATGGTTTGATAGTTTTTGTGATTCTGGACAGGTAGTGGGCTTCAGACTTTTAGAGTTTGTATATTTTTTCTTCTACCCTCTCCCTCTTAACCTGCTGCTGAACTGAGTTTGTATATCTTTTTTTTTCTGTCTTCTCCTACTGAACTATGCCTGAACCCTGCCTATGCTTGCTTTATCTCTTTTTTTCTCTCTTTTCAGTACAGCAAAGAATTTTTATAATGTTTATGTTGTACTATGGTTCTGAAGGGGCTATGATGGGAAGTGATGATTTAAGATGTTTAGCTTGCATAACACATTTTCTGCATCTTCTTTATCTCTCTTTTGACAGTTTGGATCTGACTTTGCATTTTGATATCTTTTCCAAAAAATCTTCTTTTACAGCTTTTGAGTACTTTCTTGATTTTCTTTGAGTGGACTTTGGGCATTTTGACAGTAGCTTGCCTTTGCTTTGGATAGAAAGTTGAGATTGAATTTTTCAGTTTAGTTTGGATTTTGGATTTTGAATTTCTATGCAGCTTGAAATTTGTAACTTATGCATTTTTGACATTTGCATTCATGAATAAAAAATCTTCCCTCTCTGTGAACCGGGAGAAATCCCGTGATTTGCAGAGAGGGCAACTGATCCCAGTCAGTGGCCCCTAATGATGAGCAATTTTAACTGTCTTTGCTATTAACTGCTTTCTGACTTTTCTTGTTTCTTTTTGCAGATAAAAATGGAGCACCGGAGCGGAGTGAAGAATGAAGAATATTAGAAAATAGGATAGTTTTAATTTTATGTAATATTTAAATTAATGTATATCATTGTTCATAATTTAAATTATAAACAACAATTTGTACAAATAATTCAATTATTCAATAAAATCTAAATTATCCAATTAATTCCAATTTTCTTTATTGTTTATTTATTTATTTAAAATTCTTTGAACTAAAACAATTGAAAAATGAATTTCAATCATTCAATTTCAGAATAATAAATAACTTAAATAAAACAACATTGATCAATTAAGCCTGTCTTATTCAACATCCAAAGCAAAGCAGCAGTCGATCAAAATAGACTGATCAAACGCATAAACACTGTGAATCCAACACTGCATATATCTTTTGACTGATGAATTCAAACCAATTGCCTCCTCTTACTGATTTGTCATAAACACTGATTCTTTGCAAGTATTGTAAATCCAAACTGCACACCTTCTTTGACTGGCCCAAACAAACTGAATTTACACCACTGTCTCTTTTGCTGATTAAACCAAGATAACGCGAATTTTAACCCGAATCTCGGAATAAACCGCAAAGTGCTGTGGAATTTAAATTCTTCTGAGAATATGCCCATAAAACCCTAATTCCCGATTAAATGCCAAATCACGCTCGCTTGATCAAAATTGAACCAAAAAATCAACCAAA